CAGGTTGAAGGCACAGTAAACCAGATTCAAATAAATTATCGTTCTTCTGTTGTTGCCTGTGATGTTTAATGACTGGGAATGCTGAATGCAGCAGAGTGCATATTTCCATAGCATGTTCTCCTAGCTGAATTTTGTTTTACCTGTCCAATCCTCTTGATGAACTCTGGATTTACCGCTGAGCTCTTGTGTTTTAAATTTGTAGAAATGCCTTCTTAATTATGGATTTTGAAAAGCTCTGAAGTCATTTATTGATTCGTGATTTTTCTTTTTTCTGATTTACGAATACTCGGGGCCGTTTTGTGATGTTTCATCTTTTTTCTCCCCCCAGAACACTGGAAGGATCCCCAAGGAACGACAGCCACTCTTCGATCTACATGAACCACTTAAAATGCTCCTCCTGCGGCTCCCAGTCCCCACAGCACTCTGAAGTTTGTCCCAACACTCCTGGTTCGCACTTCGGAGAAGAGATGTCAGAACTTCATTCGGAGTACTCGGACTCCAGCTGCGGTAAGGATTCTTTTTCGAATGGAGCAGATATCAACGGGGTTTTAAAAAGGCAGATTCAAACTAAATATTGTAAGGGAGATGACATATCGTTCAATTCTCATTTTCAGTACGTTGGTCAAACCATGATTAAGGCAGAGCTGATGTGTGATCTGAATAGTGAGCTTTATTGGTTAAATCACCTGAGGAAACCAAAAACCCAGCTATAAAGATGGGGCTGTCAGTACCCCTACTTCTAATCAATGATGAGCCGGGGAACTGCTGCATCAAGGAAAATGAGATTGAGGGAGGACGCACTGGATTTGGACCTCCCGAGATTTTAGGTTTAAAACTGGGATAAGATGCAATGGGGACATCCAGAGATCTGCTTCTTTACTGAAGAGCTATTCATTTTTATGCAGCAGTTTAAGCTTGGTGGCCTTGAACCTTCCATTTATTTTCTGTATTTTTTTTTTCCTAACAGAAAACGGAACTTTCTTTTGCAATGAATGCGACTCCAAGTTCGTGGAGGAGGATGCTCTGAAACGACACACACTTCAGGTCCACAGCGACAAGCCATATAAATGTGACCGCTGCCAGGCTGCATTCCGCTACAAAGGAAACCTTGCCAGTCACAAAACTGTTCACACAGGTAAACGTCTGAACCCCCCCTCCATCCTCCATTTCCCTCTCCCTAGTGAAGAGCAGATTACTGTATTGACCTGGTAACATTCATCATGAAGTTGTATATTGCCATGATCCTCACTCCTGGCTCTGGAGAGTGACAGTGTCTTCTGGCTTACATTCAACCGTGGACTCTTAATGATTTAATTGAATCACTTATTGACTTAATTGTTCTTGATTTACAACTGGTTCTCATCCCTTATCGATTTTGAGCTGGCTTCAAAATCTGATGGACTGTCACTATCCAGCACCAGGAGCGGGTATTGCTGCTACAGGCAGAACATTTGAATTGGATTTAAGAGTCCCAAAAAACAGTGCAGGGCCACGTTTGGCAGCCATAACTCTGATTTTGTTTTCCTGGTTTGTCTTATTGCAGGAGAGAAACCTTATCGTTGCAACATTTGTGGTGCTCAGTTCAACAGACCAGCTAACCTCAAGACTCACACTCGCATTCACTCAGGAGAAAAGCCATACAAATGCGAGACGTGCGGTGCTCGGTTTGTACAGGTGAGTGGCGCTGCCATACAGAAGCAAGGATTAAGTCCTGGATTTTCAAATAATTTTTCCAGCTGAAATAAAACGCAAGCACACTGATGCCGTAATATCCCTAGCTACATTTAAGACTCCTGCTTTTGTCGTTCTTAAATCAAATATACGAAGCAGAAATACTTCTATCATTGAAGACAAAATGGCAAATAATGCAGAGTTTTGGACTTTCTTTTTGTTTGTTTGATCTTGACATGTTTGAAATGTCTTGTCTTGCAGGTTGCCCACCTCCGTGCTCATGTGCTAATTCATACAGGAGAGAAACCATACCCATGTGAGATCTGTGGGACGAGATTCAGACACCTGCAGACATTGAAGAGCCACCTCCGCATTCACACAGGAGAGAAACCGTATCATGTAAGCAACTTGCTGCCAGCCTGGTGTCCCTTACCCATATAGGTTATACTTAGTGTTTCATTTTCCGTTCATTTTACAATGATGTGCAATCTACACTCATTAGATCCCAATTTAACGATGTATGAATTGCCATATTGGTGTGTTTTAGCATTATCAACCGATATTTAAAGTAAAATGGTTTTGATGGTGTACTACATTTGTCTTTGTCCTGTTGAAAAGAACACTGTTGGACATGTCATTCAACAACTGGCAAAAACTGATACGCAAACACAGCTGTGGATAAAGTGCAAACTGGAATGCGAGTTAAAAGGCCCGTGGGATCAGTAATTGGCATTGCCCATTATCTCTGCTTCAGGGGTTGATTAGGCAAAACAGTGGCTGTGATGTGAAGCAGTTTGACTTGTTTCACAATTGGTTGACTTTTAATTCCTGTAACTGGGAAATTCAGTAAGCTTAGTTTAAAGATACTTACCATGGAGAAAAACACACTAAAAAAGGGAACACCAGTTATACTATTGGGTGTGAAATTGTTAGTTTTTCACGATTATATTACTCGGCTCTTTTTTTAATTGATGCTTCAGTTGTCAATGAGATAACAGGTAAAAAGGCAGGTTGCAGGTATATCCAGTACTTATTTAAATAATACGTGCACAGGCATGCCAATGCAATAAGATCTAAATTAAAACCACGAATCATAGTCGGTTCAGTTTTCCTTTAAAAAAAAGGGATCCTTCCTGGCTGCATGTACTCAGCTGTGCAGGCACGTGTAGAGATTTTAACTACGATTCTCTATTTTTGTTTTTCATCTTTAGTGTGAGAAATGCAATTTGCACTTTCGCCACAAGAGTCAGCTGAGACTTCACCTTCGGCAAAAGCATGGCGCCATCACCAACACGAAGATTCAGTACCGCATGTCTGCCGGAGACCTGCCTGCAGACTTGACCAAGGCCTGCTGAGCAGCAGTTGGACATCTTGGCTTTGAAGAACTAGTGCCACACTGCGTTGAGGAGAAACGCTTGGGCAGGCTGTGGCATCCTAGACGGGTTTAATCTACATGTGAAACCATCACAAGATATGGTCTCTTATCACAGTCACTTTATTGTCTATACATAAAGATGGGAGTGTTTATAAGCTTTCTGAAGTATATAAAGCTTTATTTTGGTGAAAAAAGGATGGAATGTACACAAATCCAGTTTTTGAGGATATTTTATATAAAAGAACATACTTTTTTGAAAGTATTAAGAAAACTTTTGAAGGATGGTATTTTTTTTAGGGAAAAGGTATTTCTGGCGGATATGGACAATGAATTTGCTCTATAAATTTATATATAGATGTACAGGATACACCATGTATAATTGCCTCTTTCATGGATGTGAATTATTGCATTGGTTGCATAGGTCAGATACCATGCTGTGTTCAAAACTGAAGGAAGCAAACTGATGATCTAAATAGGGGACTTGTTGCTAATTTAGAACGAACGTTCACTGAATGGGCAATTTCGTAACTATTCTGTGACATAATATTGTACAATTGCATCAAGACCAGATTGCTTTCTGCGGGCAGAATCCAATCTGGCGTTAATGTTGAAATGACTTCAACTGAAATTTAAGGTATTATTCTGTATAAGCAAGAAAAATATTTTGTTTAAAGTGCTTCAGATTATTTGTCTAGAAATGTGTTTTGTTTTTTTGCAAGTGAAGGTTTACAGTTTTCTGTCTGTTGTAGAAGCTACAGTAGAAGGGTGTGATATTGTCCAGATTTTGTTTGTATGTACACTGTGTACTCAAGGTGCCTTTACTGTGGCAAATGAAAGATTCATTCAGCCCAGTTCTATTAAGGTACGACTCAAGGACAGCACTTGTCCTGTTTTTTTGTTTGTTTTTGTTTTTTTTTAATGCTTTTCATCTACCTTCAAAACCTGCAAATTCAACATTGCTTGAGCTGTAAATCTTCAGGTAACTTTTGGGGTTGGGCTTCTTTGAACTGCATTAAGCTTATATTGTAAAATATAGATGTATGAATGTAAAATAAAAGTCCTGAATTTCTATGTCTATTTTTGTGATGTACTGTATGTAGGTTTAAAGTAAACCCTGAGATTCTGAGAGCAGAAATACACGAAAAGGGAGATGTCTGAGGCAAGATGCAAGATACAGATTATAGTGACTGCCTTGGTCTAAATTTGGAGAAGGGCAGGCATCTAAATTTCAAGAGCCAATTTACTGATGTGTTTTCTAGGCCTCTTTTAATCAGCAGCACCCGATCAGCTGGTGGGGGCTGCTGATTTAGTGAAAAATGAGCTTGTAAGAAGCTGTGCTAGAGGGAAAACATCAACAGAACTACATTGGTCCCAGCAATGTCCATCAATTCCAAAAAGAGATGACATTTTAATTCCCTCCTGTTGCACTGAGGGAAATGCAAATGGTGTTCTACACTGATGTTTTTAAAACACGTTTCATGTTGGTTTTCCATCTGGCAACACAAACACTCAAAACTACTTTGAAAAATACTTGACATTCTCCAGTAAGAAGAGTGGGGGAAACTGTGGACAAACCAATATAAAATGACACAAAAAATAAGGTATCCAGCTTGCGAGTTATAGTAAAGAGTAATTTCCATTAAAGTGTTCCTCATTGCACCCCAAGACTACTACATGAAGCACTATTATTTCAATATTTCTTTAATGGATTCACTGTACTAAGCATCAAGAATGGTCCTAATTATATTTTTATAAAGATCATTAAAAATCAGGGCTTTCTATCTGGGATTTTGGATTTTGCTCATAGTAATCAAAATATGGAATAAGCTTTAGGTCTGGTCTCATTAAATGATCCACCTTTTATCAAATTAAATTCTGACATCCTATAACTCAGATTTTTTTCCCCAAAATGTTTCAGTAATATTTTCAGAAAAATATTAAATGCAGCCTAAGGAACAACTCAGAATTACTCAGATTTTGTTCTTATATCAAGAGCACAGGAATGAGTGTACCAGAGCATAGAAGAGTGACACTTCGTCTTTTATCTCTAATCGCCTGTTTCCTTTCCAAAGATAATTTTGTAGTCACCACATACAGTACATAAACCAGAAATGGCAATTAATGTCAGCACCTGAAGCGCTTAACTGAAGTTTGGGAGGGATGGCGATAACCAAGCCACATTCATTCCAGATGTTTTAAATCATAATTGTTCCCAACATAATTTCTCAAAATCTCTCTCTATATCTTGAGCAAAATCCCTTATTTTGCGTGTAATCTCATTATTTCATCTTTTTTTTTTTGTTCCCCTTGGTCCTCATCAATCATCCAAGGCACCAGTTAATCACAAAGTGCTACAGGGTTCAGTCCTGGGCACAGTACTTTTTATTATTTATATGCTTCCTCTGGGTCCGATTATATGCAAACACGGTCTCCAGTTTATTGTCACTACAGATGATACTCAGATTTACGTTAAAACGTCTTCCCCCCCGATCTTCCGCCTCCATCACTTATCTTTTATTTGAATAACATCAGGCTCTGGCTGACGTCAAACTCCCTGAAGCTAAACAGTGACAAAGTAAAACTTTTACTGGTGGGCAGCAGATGTCAGCTGGAAACAGTAACGGCGGACTCCTTCCCCATTCAGGCTTCAGCCGTAATTGGGAACCTGGGAGTCGCGCTTGATCATTTTTTTCCTGCTTTAGAAATATTGCCTGCAGTAGGCATTTTTTTCTGGGTGTCTGAATCATGCATTTATAATAGCAAGGCTTGATTTCTGCAACTTTATACCCCATGGGCTCCCCAACACTCTTCCCAGTAAACCGCAAAGTAGCTTTACAGTAAGTGGCAGAGTAAGTTCCAAAACTCTGCAGTTAGACTTTCAACTCACTCCAGACCTTGGCAGCATATCACTCCTACACGTAAGTCCCTACATTGGTTGCCTATAAAGTCACGTATTCAATATAAGATGCTGTTACTGACCGATAACTGATAAATAATCTGGTTTTATCGTACATCTCCGAGCTCCTCCATGCTAACACTCCTCCCACAGGCTGCGTTCAGTTGAGGCTGGTCCTTTGCCCACTGTACCCAGGACTAAATCACAGACCATTCCTTTTCTGTTGCTTCTCCTTTTTTTACAGAGCGCCATTCCACTGATTCTGCAAAAGATTCGGTTTTTATTTTGACCTATGTATAATTGCCCTACATTCTATCCGGTTACGTTCTTGTGTAACTTTATCATTCATTGTTCTTCTTGTCAATATGTACGGAGTCATTGGTTTTTGAAAATCCCACTAATAATATTAGTTATTATTATGTCCTCCTACACCCCATCTTCACTTTTGCAGCTCCCCCTTGGTTAACTCCTCATTCTGCTTGGGGTCCTAGCTGTGCCCTCTCTAGGCTACAGTCCCACTTTCTGCCCTGTCTTTCTGATACAGGCTCTGTGTTGTCACAGCCAGACCCTTCCTAAGAATAAGCAGCTTTCAAACATTGCATAGACATACAGACCTCTGCAGGTCCTATAATCCACCAAAAGATGTCAGTATCACACAAGTAAAAGACAACTGTTCTATAGGTTGTTTGTTGATTGTATGATTTTCACACCTTTCTGGAGGCTCATTTTTATTTCGCTTGCGATTATATTCATTTGCTGTGTCCAGAGTACTAAACCACTATTTTGGCACATGTACCTTGTCAACAGGTTATCGAAACCTTAATGGTGGAAGATTAATCGATCATTGCCCAATCCAGCACAGTCCCCTTTCCCAAATCTGTAATGCATTACGTTCAAACCTTATGCTTTTGTGAATGTTCTGTCATTCCTACACCTTTCTGAAGGTCTCAGTCTTTCAAGCAGAAAGTACATTACCAGAATACTCCACGTAACAGGTATGCAAACGTGTGACAATTTATGAAAAAAAGATACCTATGTTTAATAACCCATGGGATAACCCAAAATTCTATTTTTTCATTTCCTTTTTTATGCATATGAAAAGAAACAACAATAAAATGTCTGTCATCATGTCACATGATCAAAACAAGACTTTCAGTTAAGGATACATGAGATTTTCAAATGAGAGAGTGCTATTTGGTATATCTAGATAATTTGGTAGCTAGCAAGTAACTTATACAAGGATATGATCCAGTCATTTCTTTTTTGTTGAATAAAGCAAAGGGTATTAGCTTCAAGAACATGGCTGGTTAGCTCGTTCCAGACCTCCACAAAAGGTTCAAAAGCAAATTAAACCCTGCAGGCAGCCTATTGTATGGTGCTTCTTTTCTAAAGAAATAATCACAGATAAGGGAATTCTCTGCTTTTTCATCCCATATTTCTGGTTGGGTGATTTTTTCTGCCTCTAAAACAGCTTACTTAAGGAGACTTTCTATATAGTATACTCACATTTACAAATAACATTTAGAGATCTTAGTTTTAATGGGCTATTGTATCCACAGATATTCAGATTGTTTAACTGAGCTTTTCACAACCTAAATCAGATCATTTTTAGCATAATCAGAGCAGTTGAGGAGCTTCTCTCAATGCTTCAGGTACCAATGCTTTGAAGAGATCTAGAAATCATGGAAACAGACCAGCCATTTCAAGGACAAGATCGGGGATCTCCAGGTTCAGAGACCTACAGTACAACCACTTACAGGAATGCTTCAGTTTATCAAAGGACTCTCTGCCATCCTTGTCACCAGTCCAGGCCTACTGGGCTAGTCACTCAAGACGGATGCCCTGCTACACATTATCAATCGCTTTATGCACTATTTCTCCCCAAGCCTTTAAAAAGAGCAAAACCTTCTCGTTCTCACTCAGCTTCAGTGGTTTCCTTTTCCACAGACAAAATTCAAGTCACAAAATAAAAACTCTTGGAAGATACATACTGTACCTCTATGGGATGTCAATCTAGAAACTTCAATTAAAGCAGTAAGTAGAATGAATCCGAAAAGGTGTACTTAATAAAAACAGGTTAAATACTGCACACTTAATATACCTCCAGGAGTGCCATTCAAAAACTTAGAACGTCACTTTAATTGTGGACAACACAAACCAACAGACAAGGTTATTTGGATTAAAATAGAACTCCAAACTGGATCATGCTTATTAAATACATTTCTGCCAAAAAAAATAATAATCAATACACAGACACTATTTGTATATACATTGAAATTTACATTACAAGTTACTTCAGGCAAACTTTTGTTACCCACGTTTTTTCACTTTTGTAAAGAACGTCATCCTTAAATCTTGCTCTAGGAGAAGTGCTGCAACTTCACTTTACACTTTCTGCTTTTAAATAGTCTCAACCACCAGTTGGGGTTTACCCAACTGTGGACCTTCATGCATCACTGGACCTCTTCTCTAGATTTTGAAGATCTTCTGATGTTGAAAGCTCCACCAGAAACAGAGCACGATCTAGTCCAGGGAAATTGTACAACAATGTCTCATTCAGGTCTTCCGGGCCAAGTCTCCAGTGTCGCTCCTTCTTGGTAGATATCTACAGAGATGTTAGTTGTAAAATAACTAGCATCATAGACCTACTTTCATCCTCTCATGTGAGATTCTTACCCCACCACACCACTTACTCCCTATTTAAGGATCAGCTCTAGGCAATTTGTTTCGGCTCCAATAAGGATTATGTTTCTGGGTGGGTGGGAATTTAACTTTAATTTTGTTAAATTAAGAGACCAAAGAGAGAAAAATGTGCAAACCGTTCTTCAAATTTTAGAACACTGTACGCTCTGAGCAAAGTTACCAAGCATGAAGCTCATTCAGTTCACTCTACTGCAATGCAACCCACACCTTAATTCTTATAATGATCAATTAAATATTTGATATTTTTATTGACTACCAAAATCTCTTTTGGACTGTGTTTTGTTTCTACCTGCCCTCCTAAGAGAGCAACTTGAGTGACCCTAAATTAGGCGTTTCTGCATGAAACTGGGCAATCCTGGTCCTAGGAGGGCAGTGTGACTTCAGGTTTCTTAAATAGCCAAATAGCGACTGTACCTCTTCATCTGAAAATTCTTCAAAGGATGAATTGAACATGTGGCTGGTCTCAAGCTCACTTTGATCCCCCTGCGAGTATCAAAGCAATAAGAACAGAGCATTACATAAAGACAAAAAAATACTTTCACTACAAATATGCTTTGGGATTACTTTGTGCCAATGCTTCTCAATTTGCATAGTGGTTGTGTCTGCTGAGCCACTCGATTACAGTTCTCTATCTGAGGCAAGTTTGTAAATTTGCTTTCGGCTCTTAAATGGTCATACTGGATGTTTAACCGGCAACAACTTTCTGAACTGAACTCTTTAGGTTGCCAGAACTGTAAATTGGATCACTGCAAAAGCAAAAAATACTCATTGTGGAAGTATAATACAGAGCCGTTTCCACCTATCGGTTCAACATAAACTGATCAACCAGTTAGAGCTCTTTGGAGAAGCTGTGAAGCTTTTGATGTGCTGAAGCTGTTGGAAACAGTACCCTTGAAGTCAGGTATTCTGGAAGCTGAGGGCTAACCAAAGAAAAAAGTGAAATGAAAGTCTAAACAATCAAGCAGTTGAGTCATCAATTAGCAGTGAAGATTTAGGGCTCACCACGAATGAAAACCAGCCAGCAGCATTCCAGGGCTGTAAACCACTGCTCTAGACATCAATAATGTCTAGGTTTTACCGAGGTTTTCAGTGAAAAAAATACATTTTGGGTTAATTTAGCAACAGGGAGAAGAGAGATGGTATTATGGGCAGCGTGGTGGTGCAGTGGCTAGCATCGCTGCCTTGCAAACGCTGGGGCCCTATGTTCAATTCTGGACCTGGAGCGCTATCGGCATCGAGTTTGTATGTTCTCCCCATGTCCATATGGCTTCCCTTCCACAGTCCAAAAACATACTGATATGTAAACTGGCGTCTGGGAAAACTAATCCTAGGTGTGTCTGCCCTGCAATGGCCTAGCATCCCACCAAGGGTGGATCCTGCCTCACATCCATTGCTTGCCAGGATAGGCTCTGGTTTCCCTGTGATCCTAAACTGAAAGAAGTAGCTAGAAAATGGATGGAAGGAACTAGTATTGGGGATAGCTTGAAGTTTGCTTTTTGCAGTCTACTAGATCCAAAAGTGTCATTTTCAACCCCAGAGTTGAACCTTTTTTTTAATGCTGAGACCTACCTGATCTTCAGAAAGGACGTCTTCCTCTGGGCTGCACTGGAGCAAAGATCCCTGATCTCCCTAACAATTACAAGTCAATGGTGACAAGTACTTTTGTCAGTTCAGTTGTACCTCTATTTCTTGGCAGCCATCTTTGATTTTTGACAGTTCATTAGAAAAAAAGATTTTGTGTCAAGAATTGATATTCAGTGGATGCTAGAGCTAACTTAACTTGCTTCACTCTAGAACAATGTGTGGATAATTTTGCAATAGTCATCTTCATGCATTATACCAGTCACAATTTTTGCAAAGGGTGTAAATAAAAAAATAATTTAAAAAAATTACACACACTTCACTCCTATCTTTTTAGGTTTCTGTCGCACAGTGTTATGTTCAACATTCCTTAATATCACTGTATGTTATGCTCTCCTCTTTCTGAAACTGTGAGCTATCCTGCTGCCCATGAAGCCTTGCAAACTGATATGTTAGTGTGGTAAATAAGATGCGTGTATGCTGTGTCAGTTCTTATATTTCACAAGCTATGATCTCTATCATGAGCCAATTGCCTGCACATTACCTTGACAAGTACTGTGTTTGTTGGCACAGAATGGAGCAGAATGCTGTTAATTCAGTTGCTTGAATGTGGTCACAGAAAAACAGATGATGAATAAATGACAACAAAGAACAGCCACAAAACAATTAGAACGTTTTTCCCCAACCAACTTAGAATAGTGGAGAAAAGAAAATTCAGTGAATGGTTAAGACCTACCCAAGGAGATCCCTGTTCGATAAACCTGCATTATATGGCCAACAAAAATCATGGTGAAATGAGGGCCGTACTTGGAAAGGCCCAAAAGCAGAAGACAATCAAAACAAAACAAAACAAAAAAAATCTAAAGCAACAGCCAGTACATCAGCTTAAATATAACTAAGAATTATTGTTGTAAATGAAAATGGTTATACACAGTGTTTATGGCATTTTTCTAACAATATCGTAAAATTACAAAAAAAAAATAGGAACACCAGATGATTCTCTTAAACACCCATGGACAGACCTTTATATATTTGGAAAGCTTGTTTCTCAGGTGTGATTGCAATCCCCAGAATCATTTTGATGGTTTGTATAACCGGTTCTTTCGATTTGTAAGCCTATTTAGCACGAACACTGTAGACATCTAAGTAGCGTTGGTTGATTGGGAGAAAAAAAAGTGAAAGTTTATTTATATGAATTAAATAATCAAAATATCCTTACTACGTCAACGACGGATGGGTCTAAAAGAGAAATACCTTGTGATGAAGCGAAGGCGCGGTCTATCATTTCTATTAACAGCTAAACTGCAGTTTTCATCTCTTAAGCCAAACTCTACAATTCAGCGTTGTCTATTACTCTTGCGGTTTCTTCTAAGCATTGAAATTTCCTTCCCATACACTGCCCCTCAAAACACTTGTACCTGCTCCATGGCGATAATGATAACAAACGCCCGTCCAAAATAACCTCCCAGTTCGCAGTACTACTGCACGCTAGTGGCTTGCGCCATTTTAAAGGATTTCACACCTGCATCGTCGTGTCGTAAATAAACGTTAATTAAAAGACCCTGAACCTGTTTTACGTTACGTGTGAGAGGGAGACAATTGTTCTGTGGTAAAAAAAAACTCACTTCAAAACGTTTATTTTAAAAAAATATATTTCATATAGAACACAAAAAAATAATATAACCTACTCAACCTCGATTTGGTAGTACCTCTAAAATACGGCTTAGGCAAAACTAGTGAAAGCTCCAGGCAACCTGCCTCCTGACTGCGTCATCACCTGCGCCTCATCCTCCCGCGGTCCTCACCGTCGCCATGGATGCGAGCAGGAGCGGGTTCCACATGACACCGAGACACGCCGGGACCCGCAGCGTTTCACAAATGTTTATTCCGATGTCTCAGTGTAAAGAAAATAATTCGACAAACGTCACATTGACGAAATGAGAACAGTACAGCAGCAAGGTCTAATTATTGGAAACGGTAAAACAACAAAGACCATATGATTTATTTAAGAAACACCAATTTGGGGAATTCTGTTTTTTGTAATGTATGCCAGTAGCCTGTTTCAGATGTGATGAATGTATGTTTTAATGTATACCATATATGTTTTCTTTCACATATACGTTTTATGTTTATATGACTTAAAAAGACCATAAAACCACTTGAAAATCGGAGACCACGGGTTGGAAAAAAAAACGTTTATTTCTACTTTTTAACAAAATAGTCTCTCAAAACACACTACATCATTTATCATATCATTGTGACTCAACCAAATAGAAAATTAACCAAATCCACCATTAAGTAAGTTTAAACATACAAACATAATTAATGGAAATGGGAATCCAACTCCTATAAATTCAATGTAAAGCTTTTACATATCCACACCACTATGAGCAAAAATTTAAACTCAAAAGACACTCTTCTTACTCCTATTTAAAGGTAAAGACTTAGTTCAGAGAGACAATACAACCGTAATTCATCCAGAAACTGATAATTTGTTTATTGTGCGAATCTGATTTGATTATTCTTTTAAATTAATTCTTCAAATCTGTGCATATGATCTTTGTGGAGGTCATCAGAAAGCTGTGCTAACCAATTAGGTGCGTTAACTAATGTTACAATATTAGAATTGCAATACAGTGTGTGTACATGGTTCCGAGGAAGACCTTGTAAAAGGAATCTGAGGGCTGTTACCAATTCTGAAAAAATACATGCACTTTTCTATTCTTTCTATAAAAATATTACATTGATTTTTAGGAAGAAGAACTGATATTTAAGGGCCAAAATGCTTCTGTTATACACTTCGCTTAATGCAGTTCCCAGGTAAATCTTTAAATGGTAAGTTTCACTGCAGTACAGTTCAGCCTTGATTCCCAAAACTGTTCAGTTTTCTTCAGTTGTTAATCAGAAAAAAAATGGACTGAAATTTCTTTTAAATTGGTTTTGGAAGGTCTTGTCAAAATTGACATTCATGGGTGTATGCAAAAACAAATCTGTACAACCTTTTCTGGTGCTATTGTTTGCACAGTTTTGTTTCCCCAAAACATTTCAAATAAACTTGACACAGCACCAAAACATAAGAGAACATAAAACCATAACACATTTCCTACAGAATGTTTTCTACATTTTAGTGTGCTTTTTTTTCTTTTCACATTTCTAAATTTTAAAATGAAAAATCCCTTTTTAGGATCTTTTCATTACCAAGAAGGAAAGCAGTTGCTAAAAGCTGTGAAACCATAATTAAACAAAAATCATTTGTTTTATGTCTAGAACATAATAAATATGTTCTATCTGTATGATTTATCATAAAAAAACTAACAAGTCTTCCTAAGGATCTTGCACTTTTTAACAGCATTCCTTTCAGTTTTACTTTAATAAAGCAATTTCACACCTTGTTTTCTGAACACATTTGATGCCAGGCTGATTGTGGTGATGCTATGTCAATGCATAAAGCCAGGAAGGGACAAAATAACAAAAGAAACTCCTTATAAATATTACCTACTGTTGAATAGAAAAAATCCCTGCACATGCCTGCATACACACACAAAAAAACTAAGCTTTTATAAGCCTGATAATACATTGTTATAGTCTTTTCTTTAATTTCAAATTGCCAAATGTTACTTTGATTTCTCATTAATTAGAAGTACTTCGAAAAGTGTTATGTTTAAAGTTGTTTCCCCCATTCCAGTAGTAAATGGGTTATTAGCCTGCACCCCACTTATGTTTCAAGAAAGAAGCAGAAATTAAGGGATACATAAATAAAGAAACAACCACCCAAGTTGCCATACTGACGAAGTAGGTTTTGGCACCCTACAAATCCACACTCTACGGCTTTGGGAGGATTCAACATCACAGCTACAGGAAACACTGAAAGATACGATCACTTAATCAGAGCACCTATTAATTATGCAAAACTGAAATCCAATTAAGAAAGCATTTACTTTAATAACAAAATTAAGATGAATTATTTAGGCTATGGTTTTACACATGCTCCAGTGAATGTGTAGTCAAAAGGCAGCCTAGGACCCTTGTGGAAACAGCAACACCTCCCTGGCCCACCCCGCTCATGCATGTGATCACTGTTTTTGTTGCATGGCTTCTTTGCGTGCGGCGTCCTGCAACAGCTGTGTGTCCACCTCATCCGCAGGGAGCTGCACATACCGCACCACTGAGCCTCGGATAAAGCAGTTCTTCACAGACAGCTAAGGGTCACAGACCAAAGGGGCAAAAGATAAAAAAAAAAGATCAGTCTAGCTGCTCCTCCAGGAGTCCTTGTTTTCCGGAAGGGCAAATGTCAGCTATTAAACGAGAACAATAAGATGAAATACATCCGTCTTTCTGTAAAAACTGCCATTTCAAGGGGAACTGCAATGCTATTTTAACATTTCGGGGTTAGAAAAAAAAAAGGCATTGATGAGTACATTGAAAGTAAGATGTATGCAGTTACATGTAAAACCCCCAATTTACATCACAAAGTACTCGAAATGTTCAGGTTTGCAGAGCACCATACTCTACAATTCAGAACACGGCCACCAATCTTCTGATGAGGTGAAACGGCCCCATTACATTTCAAACAAGCAGGCTTGTGAATACAACTCTTTTAATCCAACAGACATTTTGCTCTCAGTTAAGACGGTTTTGCCAGCAAATACTACTGGTTAACTCTTCATGCACATTTCTGTGGTGAAACATCTGCTGCACAACCTGCACTACTTCGCCCGTACATCCCATTACATTAGTCACTACAGTGACTAGTGAGCAGGAAGGGCCGCTTCATGACTCAATTCACAGAAACTCTTGAACTTGCCCGTGGCAAAGACCAGGGCTTCACAACAACATGGCAACTATACACTACTTTCAGAAAATTCATGACTTAGTTCCTAATCCAGAATTTGTAAAATTTGTGATACTGTCAATTAATTTATGTTACCGAGATTAAACAACCAGTCTGAAAAACTGAGACTGCAGTTAAAGGACCAAATCTTGTCAACAGACTCACCATGTGAGGGTACTTCTCTGGATCAGTCACACTGATGTCTGTTAGTTTGATGTTCAGGTACTAAAAAGGAGAAAATGTCAGTCAAATGTTTTGTCAGTCAATAATGATGATGGTTTTCCACCAATTAAGAGTTAACTGGGCTTGCAACAAAAGCACGGGTGGAATGTAAAAGTGCAGAACTGGCAAAACTATATTGAAGTAATGAAAGTAAAAAAAAAGTAAAAATAAATCAATATAAGTATGCTGATATTCATACTATAATATACACAGACAGCCAACCTCAATTTATTTCCTAAAGTTAAAAAAAAGATCCTGAGGACGGTTTCCACAATCCCATTCATTTCTACAGTAGCCAATATTTCTGTATAATTAATGTTGCCATGTTTCAATTAGCGGTAAGGTACGAGTTGGCAATGAGAGTTGTTGACTGTGTTGCATTTCGGGCAACTTAACACCTGAATTATAAATTAGCAGGATAAGACGTGACGTTCTCCAAATATGGTGAGAAAATGAATATGAATATCACTTGCTTCAAAATGCATGGCTGAAAAAATTACCAACTAATAAAATAAACTCCGATTCAATGACAGGGGTTTAACTGCTTAATTTTTATGGAGAATTTTCATGCAAAGCCCCATTACCGACTGCTGATCTGCAATAGCAAGAATGAGAAGGCTGCTTGTCAAACTCCTAAGCCATTTTACAAGAGTTGTCAAGAAACTATCCAACAAGGATAGCTTTTTATCACTCAGAAATATTTTGCAATGACACTGTAAAATACAAATACGGTAAAGCTAACCTTTCACAACCTGGAATGAAAAAATGATTTTCACTATTGCCACTTTTACATTTGTGGATTTAACAGGGAGAAGATATACATAAAAATAGAATAGAGAAACAAAACACCTACCTGGTCAACTGAATGAAGTGTCCCACAGATACTATAGAAGAGCACACAATAACAAAAAAAAAAACATTATAATTAGATCATTTGGGCTCCGTAAAAAATTGCTTAAAGGTTTTTTTCTTGTGACTTCATCTTACAATGTTTAACAAAAATGTTGCTAAGGATTATGGAACATAAGCTAATTTAATTGCTGTACTGCATCAAGTTAATACTGCCATTGTTGAACTATTTTGTGTTTGGTGGTTTGCTAACAAATTTGAATGCGCTGTCTTAATAAAAACCTTAATATACATTCTAAGCATTCATTGACATTGGAATCGTCTTTTGTATTTCTGATATAACCACCTCATTCCTTCAGGTCTTTATGAATGCTGCCCTTTAGTATTTTAACTTTCTGCTCTGACACACCTATAAGGAGGTACAAACAATATTGTACCTGGACCTTGCTTTCTCTTTTTTTAAATGGATATGATGTGCTGTTATCTTCTGTCATTTTATTCTAGACATTAAGAGATCTTAGTTAAATTCATTGGAGATTACAGGCCAGTGTAAACCCACTATGACAGAGGAGGCCGATCACAGTCCTGCAAGGCCAGTGGATGTACAGGCTTTCGTTCCAGCTTGGCTCTCATCCTGAACAATAAACTCCTCCACTGGTGGCTCACCGGGACCAATCTGACAGATTTTCCGAGGTCTTGAGCAGACTGTAAAATTTGCAGACGCCGTCTCCAATTCCGGAAACTGAGGCAAAACCCCGTTTACAAATTCACCGACTGCCACAACTTCGAAATTCTCTTTCTTTTGGCCAGTGCGGCCCTCACCTTAAATCATTTTTCAGCTCCACCACGACGTCCTTCCCCACAAGGGACTTAAAAAACGAGTAGAATAACTGCAGAGGGAAAGAAAAGGATTGTGAAACCCCCTGCCAGCAATCCTGGCCAAATCACATGAGAATCTACACGGGGTCACTACAAAAAAAGGCAGACTTGGAATTGTGTCTGTAAGAACATCAGTAATACTTTTGAAACATGCCTGGGATAGCACATTAATATCGTGTGATTCTTGCTGTAAACAACACAATTCCAGAATTTCCTTCAGTAAAGGTACCAAAAAGACTACGGGAAAGCAAGAGACGGTCTGGAATAAGTCTGATTTGCAGATACTGCACTGATCAAGCTCGAAATTGAATAACAAGAAGCTGGGCGTTTAAGATGCCTTTCGGGGCAACCTGTTCGGCTCAGCATCTTTCCCTAGAGCACTAACCTAGGCCTTGCCTATCCCAAACCCATGTCCTCAGCGTCTACACTTTTCGTTAGAGATGGGCTCTCCGGCGCTTTACTTAATGAATCATACCTACCGTGTACGGGCGCTAAAAGTTCGCAAATTTTAAGTTACTAATAACAGTTAAGCTAGTAATAGTAACAGTTCAACTGGAATATTCAACAGAGCGAAAAACGTGATCATAGTTTAAATAGCTCAAGTTATTAAAAAAAAAGGCGGAATCGGAATCACCAAGAAACATCCGCGACACACAGACCCTTCGAAACACGTAGCGAGCATCTACTTAAAACAAAGCTTTCCTGCGGATTAGACGCACATCCAGCTGCAAAGAGAGGTGAATGCAAACCGTACGGCTGTTCAAAAAACAAGATTTAGCTTTATTACAATGCTCTTTCAAATTTGAATTGGTTGCCAATGGATTAAAGAAATTAATTCTGGTATTTTTAAAAGATATTTTGAAGAAACGTTTGAGTAATTTAATCTCGTCACGGTGCCGGTAGTCAAAACCATTTTCAGAAATTAATTTCTGATAGTGAAAAGAAATGTACACAGAAAGCATTAAAAACTGTTCTCAAAATTGAACAGAAAAGGGATCTCACCATTTTCACTCACACTCGACCCCCACTGCGCCTTTACTCTCCGTTTACATCCCAACGAGAACGGGATTAGAAGTCCTACTCACCCATTGGAGCAACTTCTTTGACGTCATAAAAATGAGCCGAAATGATATTCACCAATCAGCTTTGTCCGCTGGGCGACACGTGGTATAACCATAGAGTTTATGGAAGAAAGAGTAATATTTTATTATCACATGCAGATTGCATCGCCATATTGGTAGAGAGGATACAGGAATTGTGTATTTTCGAAGGGACCTACACACGAAGAATTATATCAGGAAGCTTTCAACAAAAGGCTTTAACTATTATGTCAAAAAGTTACCAAAATAAGTTCTTAGTTATTTTAGGTGTAGTTAATTTTGTTACTGTTATCTGTATCAGTAACTGCAGTGGTTTGTTAACCATTAATAGTCTCTGTAATTAAAGACATGCATAACATTTGAAAATTGAAAACATAAATCACGTTTGCTTTATTGTTTATAAAATATCGCTTCTATTTAGCTTAAAATCAAATCAATACATTTAAGGTAACGAAGATGTATTTAGTATATGTACTAGAACAAAAATGTATTTTTTTCTGTGCATTTTTAACCATACAAATATTTTTTTTATTTTCCCACAAATATAAAATATAAAATACACAGTAAAACCTACAGCTGTGTTGGTGTTTGTGCTGTGTTCTGTAATGATTTAGACCCTTTTGGAATACGAAGGGAATATTGTTATAGGTTGAGATTTTCTGCTGCTCTGCCCTCTATTGATGAAAATATATACGTATCGGTGTTTCTTAGTTAAAATGAAAAAAATCAGTTTGGTCATTCCAGTTCTAGTTCTAGTTAGAATACCTGTTGCTGATATTATTTCTGGCGATTTTGTTATTCTGAGAAGTGTTTTCACTTAATTTCACTTATTCTTTATTTAACGTTATTGGCTTTACGTCATTATTATCGGTGCTACTTTTTTGGAATATGAGAGTCACTCATTTAATTAAGGTCGGAAAACCATTCAAAACACAGTAAACAAAATGGGGCTCGTCCGGGATTCGAACCCGGGACCTCTCGCACCCAAAGCGAGAATCATACCCCTAGACCAACGAGCCCGCTAGCGCATATTTTTCTAGAAAGCCACATATAAAATAAAATACGTTAGGTGTAAATTAATGGGGCCCAAATGATTGCACAAGATTAAAACACCATGCATGGTACCATAATAATCCACATTTCATTCATATTAAAACAACAATTAGATTGAGTTATACTGCATAATTGCAGTGGATGTCTCTATAATTTATGGCACTAAAACGTTTGCAGGTAAATCGAGAGTCACCAATAAAAAAGTGAGCCGCAAAGCGTTTAGCAGCCGAAAGGACGGAAACAAAACATCAATCGCTGCATCAAAAGCCTACATCAGCGCTTTGCTTTTTATCTGAAGACATTATAACGTCTTGAACGTATGAATTATGACTTATACCACCATGAGTATTCTAAATTAATTATGACTGAGAAATAATCTTTGCTCTAAATGACTGTGTATTACGTGTCGGCATATCGGAGCTTTTACGTTACCGTAATGGCTAGGCTGTTTGCCTTAAAAAAAAACAAGCATAACAGAGCAGAAAAGAAGAGAAGGCTGTGAGGCTTGTTTTCCAGGCGGGATCGCCACTGTGCAACCAGATACGATCTAATGCATGATATAGCAGCTATTAAACTCCTTAATGATAGCAGCAGCTAATAAACTCTTGTATCCTTGTTTTTACAGAAGTCACTAGAGTTTGAAATAACCCATTTTGCCCAAACTGCCAGGGTTCTTGAAAAACCGTCCAGACGAGACTCCGGGATCAATCGACTGCTTGCAGACGCAGCTGGGCCTGGCCAGTACTGAGGTGGGATAACTGCGATCTGTGGTGTTCCGTGAACCAGTGGGCTGGGGCGGTGGACCCTCTTCCCTCCGGACCACAAGATCCACATCCACGTCCCAGTATGATGAAAGGGGACACGGTACACTATCCGGTGGCATGCTTAGGATGAAAATAAACAAGTGAAGGTTTATTCCGTGCTGAAAAGAAAAGAGACACAACCTTTCGGCTGAGGGGCCTTCTTCAGGTGTGCGTGGATGCTTAGGATGAGACAATACACGTCTTAATGTCTTTTTATTGCACATCCCATGCCTCTGTTCGTAAGACAGTGTCCTGTCTGAATTTAAATATCGAACTCGTACGGTCTTTCCTGCACAGGTAGGATGATGCCTTCTATTTGCACAGGAGCTTCAACAATGGATACTGACATGGGTCCCCTCCTACATTTAAAGTGCTATATACCCACAAGGGATGGTTTTTATTTAAACCCGATTAGGATAACATGCCTACTTTTCATGTTTTCAAAAGTTGGGCTCGTCCGGGATTTGAACCCGGGACCTCTCGCACCCGAAGCGAGAATCATACCCCTAGACCAACGAGCCACACGATGTCCTTCCTCCACTGCATGTATATTTTTATTTTCTTACGGCTACACTGCACTGATTTTTTTTTAATCCAATGTAGCCAAAGAATAACATGTTAGGTGTACCAATGCAGACTTATCTAACTGACTGATGAACATTTTAAAACACACTTTTTGATTCTTATGAGTAGCGAAACTACTTGCATACATATGAATTCACACAAGTCCAGTTTATGAATTTAATTCGACATCAGTAAGTATTCGCGTTTATTAGTAGTAGTTGCATAAAACTGGGGCTCGTCCGGGATTTGAACCCGGGACCTCTCGCACCCTAAGCGAGAATCATACCCCTAGACCAACGAGCCTGTACAAACGGCGTTACGTTGCATCCAGAAATACTAAACGTACCCTTGTCTAGAATCGCAGGAAACGTATTCGTGGTGAGTTTTTCCAATTTTCGTTTGAGTTATTTTATCCTTCCGGGGCCCGGCAAAAGAGCCCCACTCAAGAGCTTATTGTCTGCTACAGAGGACAGAAATCAGCAGGCGCGACGCTTCCGAGACCCACCATGTTTTCCCATGATGCCTTCTTCGTACAGAGCTGTAAACATTTGAACTCGCCAGAGCTGTTCGGGACTGCGTGTAGCCGGATGGCAAGTTTGAGAGCTGACGGAAAAAGACGATAACGTTTTATTCTGAAGGCATTTTTTTTTTAAATGAGCACGACACCTTTTGTGAGCTGAGCTTGCGATATCGTAAGGGAGACTGGCGAAAAGAGAGAAGAAGCGGCCCCCTGTATTTTTTTAACCATGGAAACAACTGGACGCAGTTAAGGTTTGCAGTGTGGGAAGGATGTATTTAAGCATTGGGTTTCCGTCCGTATCGATACCTTTAAATTAATCTCTTTCGTTTTCCTGCGTTTTCTTCCAGACTCTGGTTGTATTTTTGACCTCTCTAAGCGGCAACCAGGTAAGTTTGCTTCTTGGAGAAACATAAGATGTTTTTCATCACCGAGTCTTCTCCAAATCAAATCTTTTCTTCCTGCCCGGCTTTTGCATTTAGAAGAGATATTGTCCTTGCTATTCATCTTCGTACCCCCATTAGACATCCGCTTTAACTTATAAGGGAGTATGTTGCAGTCGGTGTACGTTGGATGGCGTTGTTTTATTTTTTATTTACTTTTTGAATGAATAATACAGTGTTACATTCTTAAGATCATCATGTTTTTATGTGACAGATGCCCTACTGGCATTAATGTGAAATGGAGGCCTTTTGGGGGACGCTACAGGATGAAACTGCAAGGTAGGGGGACTTCACAGTTAGGCTTATCATGTTTCCCTTAGAACTGTTTTTCTCACGCTTAGTGGATGTGGATTTGGAGTTTGTGTTTTGCTCCGCCACTTAACTCCCACCAAAGACATGTTACGCACACCTGCTTCAGCAGCAGATGGGACAGCTTATGTTTCCACCATTGCTCCCTAGACAAAGAGGGAGTTCAGGCAGAAACCACACGGGCAGGTGCGTGGAGAGGCTGGAATCAGCGTTCTCTCTCCTCCCCAGCGCCATCCTGTCGTCATGTGAACCGGAGCTCCAGGAGCTGATGCGTCAGATCGACATCATGGTGGCCCACAAGAGGAGCGAGTGGGAGAGCCAGCACCGGGCCCTGCAGGGGCGGCTGCAGGTTCGAGAGGAGGAGCTCCGTTCTGCCAGGGACGCTCTTGAGCACAAGCACAAGGAGGTACTGCCGCAGCTAGTACTTTTGTCAGAAGTGTTTCGCGACAAGCTTCGTATTGGCGTAGTGGACCGGGGGTAGGTAAAGACAAGCTTGGCAATTTTTAGATTTTGCATGGTTGTAGGAAGATACATTTTCAGCTATATAAATGTAAGATTTCATAATCCCCGTTGGGAAATTTCGTCATGGTGAAGACGTGTCAATCCTGTCAGCTTGCCTTACGGGAATACTACTTCATTAGACGAATGGACCTGATTTGCACCTGTGTTCTTGAAGAAAAGTATAGGAGAGTGGAAAAGAGATTGGTGGTCAAATCTGTGTTATTTTCGGGGGGGGATGATAAGTTGGTATGGAGAAGTGACAGTCTTTGCTAAAGAGAGAGAGCTTTCACGGTGTGTTTTGTAGATCATTATGACTGACGACGAAATACTCTTTTAAATATTTTTTTTATCAAAGAAAATTACATTCTGCTTTTACTCTTGGTCAGTGTTCAGAATCAAGGAAGTCTTTGTTAGATCTTCAGGACAAAACCTTTCAAGTGAACTTTGTAGAGGACATGCTGAAGGCGAGCTGGCATGGAGGTTGTGTTGGAAGGCTTTGCATGCTTGTCATCTGAACGGACTTGGTATGAAAATATCCTATGAAATGAGTGGCAAAAACCTTTTCTCGTTCATATTAAAGCAAAATCGGATTGTTATTTGCCCAGCTATCAGCCAGCCAGAATCAATTACTGGTATTCACGTGAAACTGAGATTCAGCAGATGTTTACGTAAAATCCATGAATTGTATGTAAATGTCTCTGCCAGTATGTGCCTCCTCCTTACATGGCCAGAATGCTTTCCCAGTGCTCCTTACAGCATTAGTATCCCACAGTGAGGTGGAGAATGGGCAATGGAGCCCTCAGAGCACACCTAGTTACTCTTGTCCATTCCTTCTTAGGTGGGAATGTTCCGACAGCAGCTGCTAGAGGCGCAGAATGAGAAGCAGGAGCTGGTCTCCAAGTACGAGGAGCAGCTGCAGCGAGTTCAAGAAGAGGTGTGTCCCCGCAGGTTTTCTCCGGACATCTGTCGTGAACACTCTGAGGCAGAGCAGAACAGAGGAAAGAAAAGCAAGTAAAAGTTTTACGGTCTGCTGTAGGATACCAGCACAAAGGTTAATTGAATCACTGTGAAGTGCTGCACGTGGCACTCAGTCAGTTACTCGGATACTTGGCAAATGTAAGGGAAGGAACGAACTTGCGCTGGAATCTTGTGAAGCTGTGGATTAGTGTGGTTGAACAGGCGCATGTCTGAACCTCGCTGCAGTTGTCCAAGCTCAAGCGGAGCTACGAGAAGCTGCAACGCCGGCAGCTGAAGGAGGCCAGAGAAGGAGCCAGGAGCCGAGAAGAAGACAGGACGGAACTGAGCAGATTAAACGGCAAGATAGAGGTGATGTGAAGCTTTGACTCATCTCCACACCACCTTCTGAATTGAGATGGAAATACTGGATCAGTAAATGGATTTGACAGTATTTGGAGTTCTTCAGTTTTACAGTATTCGGGGGCTAATAGTACAACTCACGCTCTTATTTTGTGTCACTGAATGATCTTCCACTTTCCTGTCCTGGGATGAGCAGTGGTACGCTTTGCCACACATCATTGGAAGTTTATACATCTGAACCTAAAAAATAAGTCGATTCCAGAACAAGTTTTTTTTAGTAAAGCAAATGAACTTTCTGTCATATCATTTCCAAAATGTGTGTATCGCACTTAGACGTCTCAGAAGATAGAATTCAGAATTTTGCCCGTCTGCACTGTGGCCTTTCCTGACTGCCTTTTGTGCTTCTCAGGAGTTCCGTCAGAAGTCAGCTGAGTGGGAGCAGCAGCGACTCCAGTACCAGAGACAGGTGGCCGCCCTGGAGGCTCAGAGGAAAACGCTGGCTGAGCAGTATCAGCTTATGCAGGTAATAAGTTTAGGAAGATGGCATTCTTATTTTTTCCCCCTCTGTTTGCCTGCCTTAAGGTGGGCCTTCTGTGCGGGATGTTAGTGTTTGAAATGATTTAGAAAACGCATTCAAGCTTTGTGCTGTGAAAGACCAAGCATCACTTTCTACAAAAGAGTGGCATTAACATTTCTTTCTGCAAGGCATTCTACAACACATAGAAAGATCTTTACACAGAAGTATATCTTTTTCAAGATGTATTCTGAACTGAGTAGCATTTTGGCAAGGTTGATTTATGTACAGTATTTGAGATTTGATTTTTGGGACACTGAATTGAATGTGGAGGAAAAATGGATTCTAGCTTATCGTTTGGAGCAGCTGGAACTAGTTTTCTGCACATTGGAGCAGTGTGACTGACATTGTCTCCAGGAGATCTGATCAAGAGGCCAACTTGCAGTGAATCACAGGCTGCACCTCCTAGAGTGGGAACTCAGAAAAGAGCAGTCAGTTGAGCTCAAATAAAAAACTGAAATACAAGTTTGTCAATCCCCACCGTTTAATTCTCAGTGGCATTTTTCAATCAGTCTTCCAAGTCTGTGAATTCCATCCCTCTTGCTGAGCAGGAGTCGGCTGCCTACCACTCCCAGGTTTCTGGCCGCCAGCAGGAGCAGAGTGAGCTGGCCATCCAGTCGGAGGTCCAGCGTCTCCGGAGCCAGCTGGAAAGAGCCCAGGACAGACTGCACGCCCAGGAGATGGAGCTAGAGCGGTTCAGCCTTCTGTGGGAAGAACTGGGAGACTCCAGGAGGGAACTGCAGGTCAGCAGGGTAGGTGCCGGAGATGAGAACGAGGGAAAGTAAAAGCAATGGTGAAAATGAGTGAAGTCCTTAGTCTGGATGTTTGACTCTCCAACAGCAGTTTTCGATGCATAGTCCATTCTGTAGCGCTGAACCGCGGGATTAAGTAAATGGTAGTGATTCATTTCAAAGCTATTTTCTAAATATACAAACAATGACACAAGCAAAAATCAAGTCATCTGTAGTGGCAATTCATAAGGTAATTTTTCTGTTAAATAAAGACCCGAAATGAGTAGGTTAGGAGGTCATCCTCCTGAAGGTTCATGAATTTGTGACTTAACATATTCAATAGTGAGCACGTGAAAGAATCTCCCAGCGGTTTCCATGTGATGGAGGATGTTGAATGGCTCTTGTTAAAGCTGATTGTGCTGCATTTCATGTCCAGGTGCTGAGTGAAGAGAAAACCGAACTGAAGGCCACCCTGAACACACAAGATGAGTTTGTCCGTAGCTCAGGGCTCCAGCAGAAACAGCTCCGTGCTGAGCTGGGCAGGCTGTCTGAGGCCCTGCAGGCTAAAGAGCATCTTATCAGGTGTGACATCCTAGCTTTAAACCTCCTACACACTACTAACTGCAGAATTATTCCTGTTAACAGTTTGTTAGACCATTACTGTTTTCTGTAAAGAGTTACATTTAAATTAAATGCTGTAAAACCATAAGACATAAGGGCAGACACATACAGTAGGTTGTTTTTACACTTGAGTGCATTTAACATATTAGAAAATGGTATGTGTGTTATATGGTTATATATGTACCATAACATTTTACTTAACCTGCATTATTAATGCTATTAAAAAAAAACATTCCAAAATCTATAGATTAAGACCTGTACAGTACTTTCAAAATGGGTTTTCCCAGAAGACCTTATCGCAGACAGTTTCTTATTTATTCCCTGTGGGATTTTCTTTACTCAGGTCTCTTGAAAGCTGCCTACAGAAGCAGGGTATGTCTGGAGGGCTGGCACCTCTGAGACAGGATCTGGAGCAGGTTCTAATTCAGCTCAGTGCTACACGCGCATGTGAGGGGCACCTGAAAGCAGAGGTGGCTCTGCTTCAGGAAAGGTAGGAAGTCCAGAATGAAGTAGCCTTCGCCACTTTGCATGAAACCTAATTATGCTAGGTAAATACATATACTATGTGCTATGTAGACTGTACCCTTTCTTGATGATTAAAATATACTATGTGGAAGCTTAAAAGAGAGGACCTGATATGAATCCTGAAATTTCACCTTTTTTTTAGCCTTGAAAAGATGCACATTCAGTCAGAGGGTCTTAAAGAAGAACTGTATGGAAAACAGCAGGAACTCCAGCGGATGGAAGAGGAGCACAACCACTGCGTGGGCGAAAATAAGAAAGTAAAGGGCAGCTGTTTCATTCTTCTGTGTGTGGTGCCTTCTCTTCAAGTAAATCAGCCCTGTGCATGGACTGCTTTGCAGTAGAGAACAATCATAGGTTCCCTCTGTTCAAAACACACTTCGAACCAGAAATAAATCCGAAATAACAGAGATCGTACTCTTATTTAGTGTCAATTTACTTAGAAGAGCTGCATTCTTGTTTGGTTTGAATGTGTGTTGGAATGTTTTATAGTTCAGTCATGTACATGTCCAGTATATGAGGAGCACCGTCCTTGTAGTTTTATAAGTTATTTATCCAGAATTTAGCTTAGTCATGTAAATTTGGAAAACTAAATGAATCCAATAGAGTAGATAACTGATGCCAAGGCTGCTATAGCTCGTATGCAACAGGAATGACCAAAACCACCCAGCTTTTCAAACAGCCTTGTGGTAGCTCTTGTTAGATTACTGAACAGGTGTGTTGTTGTCACCCAGCTGAGGGATGAGCTGCAGAGGGCACTGCAGACACATCGAGGGGAGATGGAGGGCATGAAGAAAGAGGTTTCCAAGCTGACGGGCGAGCTTCACCAGAGGGATATCACCATAGCAACTCTGAGCGGCTCTGCCTCCAGCATTGAGCGCCAGCTCCACGCTGAGGTCGAGAGGACGGAGCACAGGGCAGCCGAACTCAAGGTGCGCGTGGCAGGGTAATCGGCCCACGGAAGAGTGGGGCACCTTGGCATGCCAGCAGGCCACTGCCATCCGCGACAGGCTTGTCTTTGGACTGCAGGAATAAGGATGCAAGTCTGCAAATAAAGACTTCATTGCTGCTGTTCTCTGTGCAGGTGGCACAAGTGCAGCTGGAGACCCTGAAGATGGAGAATAAGCACCTGACTGAGATTCTTGAACGCATGGAATCCAGGACCTCTAAGGTTTGTGCAACCTCGGAACTGTAGGGCCTACATTCCTAAACTGAAGGAGTGTTTCGGGGCTTAAATTAGCAGTGGAACAAGTAATAGGTTTATTCCACGCTGAAAAGAGAAGAAAGGAAACACAACGTTTCAGCTGTGGAGCCTTCTCCAGGTGTCACCTGATGAAGGCTCCACAGCCGAAACGTTGTGTTTCCTTTCATCTCTTTTCAGCGTGGAATAAACCTTTACTTATTCCTTTGCAGTCTACACATACGGACGCAGCTACCTGCTTGAATTAGCAGTGTTCTTATTCTAAGCATGTTTGTAGTAGTTGATTTGGAGGGTTGGGGGAGGAATTCAGTTTATTTTACAGAGCTGACATGGCACATTTTTGTTTGCATTAATGGAATGTGCGTACTTTGAAATCTCTGTGATGGATTGGCGTCCAGGGCAGCCATGTGGTCTTCTGTCAACCTGCCATGTGCCATATGCTTCTAGGATGGGCTCTGTGTCACTATAACCCTCTTCGGGGAAAAGTGTCTAATCAGATAATGAATGGATGAAATTTCCAATACAAAGGTCTTCACATGTGATTTTTTGGGGGGACAGACTTCAGATATCGCCATGAATATGTGACACGGCCAGTTCTTGATTTCTTTTTCATGAGGAAAGACAATTAGTTACGTGTCATTTCTGCTTTCTACCCACAATGAATGATAACCGCGGTGTGCTGCAGAAGACTGAGGGATCCCTGTCGGCGCTGAGAGACGGCTATGTGTCCTCTCTGGACAGCCTCGAGCAGCAAAACCTGCAGCTGCGGAAGGACCTGGCTGAGGTGGGTGCCAGGCTGGACACATCCATGCAGGCCTGGCAGGAAAAGTACGAGAGGGCACTGGAGCAGAGCCAGAATAAACTGACCCAGCTGGGCGCTCAAGAGCAGAGGTAAGTGAGCGTAAGCTGACTGAATGTGGGCGTGAATCTAGTCAGTTCTTCATAAGTTCTCTCCTTCCTTGGATGTAGCCAAAATTAGGCACCATACCATTCTTTAGAAGTCATACCAGTTTACTGCTTAGTAAATAGGTCACAGAGTTTTACACCCAGCCTTTCTATTTAGTCATCTTGTTGGCAGTGATGATGAGTCTAGGCCTGGCTGAGCTTTATTTTCTTAGATTCTTTCATTTTCCGATGCTTGTAAAAGTGAAAAGAGAGCCACAGATATATCGGGTTCTGGTCTCACACCAGGGGGGGATGATATCCCAAGAGGCAGCTTCGAGTGTATCATTCCGGCAGAAAAGAAAAAGATGGAAATATGAAGCGATGGCCAAGGAATTTCTTTAAGTTCCCTTTATAATAAAGAATACCCTTTGGGAGGACTTCCCTGTGATTTTCGAACAGTTACTTGCAAGCCTGCAGTCTGTTTCAGGAAAGTCCAGGAGATGCAGATGAAACACATGCAGGAGCTTCAGGACTTGAAAACCAAAATGCAAGAGACTTCTATGCATTATGAAAAGGAAATTGAGAACCTCAAACATCGCCTGCAAGAAGCCAATCTCAAAGCCTTCCCCAGCCTACCAGATGGACAGTCTCTGGCCAATAAGAGTAATTCACCAACTTCCTCGTCCTCCCAGTCATTGAAAGGAGACCAGGAAAAATCTACACGTCCAAGCACAGCGCACAGCAGGAATGAGGACAGTTCCTCTGACACTGCCTCAGTAAAATCTCTTGGGTCTGTGGAACATAAAGAGTTTACACCACTGGTTAGTTGTCTCTTGAAACATTTTTTCTAGTTTTTCTAGTTATGCTGACATGTTAAACCAATAGGTAAATCAAAAATAAAATGGCACCTTTTCACAGCTGGGACTTCTGCAACCCAGAGAAAACCCATTTCTCTGTAAAGATCTCTATAGATTACTACTTCATTACAAATTTGTATTTTTTTTGTGCTTCTCATGGAGTAAAATGCAGAGTTATCCTTTTTAGCTTTCTTTGTATCAAAAAATGACCACTATGAAAACAGCCACAGGCTTTTGCGAAACATTTCAATGGTCATTTTTTCTTTGCTTCTCTTTTCCTCCCTAGGATCCTCTACCTGCCTCGCCCGTGAGTTCTGTTGCCACTCGCTTCCTTGAGGATGAGAACAAGCGCTCCCAAGACCTGCTCAAACGTCTGGATGCGCACATCCAGGACATGAGAGAGGATACCACAAAAACAGTGAAAAAGTACCTGGAGAAGGAGGCTGGGTCTTCCTCTGATTAGAGTCCTGCCTAGTTGTCATTTATGTTTACCTTGGAAACCCAAGAGCACCCCATCATGGTGCCCAGTCACTGGTTCATTCCCACAGCCACCTTCCCCTGCTGCAGTTAATTTGCCACTCTTGATGGACTGCAAATGCTGTTCATGAAGTGATGCTATCTGGGTCTCCTACAGTAAATCAGGGGCAGGCGGCAAAGAGACTAGGGATACACATATATATGTATGTATGAATAATTAAATAAGACATCCTGTGCAGACAAACCTCTCAACAGAAGCATTGCACTGCCTCTATATTTTTATACAAAACTGACCTCCTTTACTACTTTTTAATATTATTAGAGAACAGGAAGGTAGTCTGCACCTGATGTGTAATTTGGTTTTTAAAGTAATCGTCAGTGGAGCAGACAATGTCCTGCACTTTCATAGAAGAGCGCAACATCTCTTGGAGCACTTATTTTTTTATTGTCAACTCTTGTCATGTCTGTACCTTTATTTCATTCTTTTTTAATGGTGATTTTCTCTGTGTTTTCTTTGTCAAAGGTCAGTGGAAGGTGCTATTGTGTATTAAGAGATGTAGTAAATATTTTTGTACCTGTAAATTAAACGTTTTATATGTTTCACTGATCTAATTTGAAGTCAGAAATGGTATGTTGAGGGACAATGGTCATTTTTATAATGCACAACGAGCTTCTTCTAGCATCATTGATGGGCTTTGTTTGCTCCAAGAGAAAGATGAGGTGACAGGAGGAGTGTGTTGAAATAAATCATTACCAGCATCTGGAGAACCTCCCTCTGACTGTGCATTAACATCCAAATCTGCCTGACTGTTGATTTGAACCACAGTGCAGAGCTGTTCTATTGTTACATGACTGATATTCCCTCATGGCCTAAGTACAGTTAAAACCGGGCATGGTATGTTACAATGACTACAGCATCCTGAAAAGCTGGTCAGTACAGGTTTGATTTCAGACATTGAAAATCACATTTGTGGTCATTGAAAACTTTTTTCCCCCCAATATGGCTATACTTTATCTCCATTATCCAGGTGAAACATGGTATTTGGCTTCCTTTTCCCAACCTTTAAACTGAATAGTTCATTCCCAGTATTTCAACTGATGCAGAAAATTATGAATACAAATTTGTAAAGTGACAAACTGAAAGCACTACAAAGCAGCATTCAAATTCCATAGATCTGAATGGCCGTTCTGAGAATTTCTCAGCTGGGGCTTTCGAACCCACATCATTCCGAAGTAGAGGGCACATTCTTCTGCTGAAGCATTCCAATCTTGACATCTTGCTCAGAATTGTTTAAGTTTGCTGAAGGAATCTGGCTGTAGAGCCAGTGCTGTCAGTGTTTTCTCCTTTATGAGCTGCATGAGAAAAAGCCTGAGGAATTTTAATGTCAACCATATGGGACTCTGAAATTTGGAAAGGGAGCATCAAAACATAATTTAGATGTTCAGACGATGGGAGGATTCATACTTATCCTAGGCTGCTAATATAAATAAAAATAGAACGTTTTAACCTTCAACAATAGAGAATATCAACAAGAAGGCTTATTTTAGGTTTATACGTTTTGTTTTTATCTTTGGAAGGATCTGTGGCAAATAAATGTAGTTATGCTAGGCTGCAAGCCAGGGTTACTGGTGGTGTTCAGTTACTATGGTTACATGCTCTGAAAGAACCAACAAATAGAAATGTGAAGGAATTTGGCATAGAGGAGGTTTTCTTTTCATTGCGCATTAAAAAATGTTTTAATATTCCCAGATGTCCTGATAGTCAGCATTTGTAACCCTTTAGGGGCAGAAAAAAACATTCCTTTGAAAGATCAGTGATTGCAAAGTTGAAAACTCATTAAGATGAGCAAATAAACACATCACTATCATAGGAAAAATACTGAACAGACATATACTTAAAGCTAGTTTGTGCTTAAAGTCTTAAGGACAATGTTACATTATTCACAATAAAATAAAAACATCCTTTAAAGCTAGACAGTTCTCAGTGAAAAGTTATGAGTACAAAAATAATCAATATGCATGATTGCATGGCCCGGATGTCCAAACCAAGCAATTTACAAAGTACATTTGTTCATATAATTTAACAGTAGAGGGCACTGTTACATTGACTCTCAGCTGGCATTTCTGGGACAAGCTTTCAATCACAAAAAGTAATCTATTTGTAGATTTTACTGTCCCCTGAAAACTGTTACTTAAATTTGAAAGCTCCCTTTACTTAACTGATTATTTTTATTGTCCCAGATGGTAAATTTGCTTTGCAGGCAGGAAAAAAACAGAATACACAGTACAGTTACTGTATCACAACATGAACCCATTAACAAATGAGAGGCCTGCATGTATGAAAAATAAAAAAATATAAAAAAAAGTAAAATAAATAATCAGGAAGGTCAATTAAAGCTAACTTATTTCTATTGCATTTGAATCTAAGTAGACCCAATCGACACTCGAATAGAAGAAGCTCAAATTCACTGTGCAAGGAGTGGTCATGACAGTCAATGATTATATTGGCCTCCCCCACTATCTGACGTAGATGTCTGAAAGCTACAGCTGTTGTGCACCAATTATTTTGCTGGCGACCTTCACTATCCTGCTCAATCAGTTTTCATTGTGTGTATTAAGGTTACCAAACCAGGATACCGCAGTGAATGTTGTGACGGGTTCATTGAAAGATCTTTACTGTAGACCTTTCACATTGAAAGAGTGGAGTATCCTTAGAAAGAGCAATCACTGTTGGCTCTTCTTACGTATCGCATCCATGTCTTCCTCAGAAGTTATTTTGCAATAAGCAATAGTGCCAAGATATTTGTAACTTGACTGTTTCGATTTCTTGCTCTTCATTGTATGTTGGTTCTGCAGCTGGTGTTTGCATTCTATAATCAAGGATCATGTCTTTGTTTTGTGATACTTCTAGTACTAGTAGCTGTGATACTAGTTAAAAGTAGGAGTTCTTGCACCATTCAACAAAATAATCCTCTACAGGCCAATGATCAGTGTCTACATCTTGGAGGAGATTGACAATGACAGAGCAAAACTAACAATGTGTCTTTCCTCAAAAGGATATCTACAGTTGATAATGATAATCCAGAGTAATGATGTCAATTCATAGATGGGGATTACGAGGCCATGATTAATAAAGGCCAGAGAGACGTTTGGCTACAGTTATACCCCTACTTTTTTCAAGAACCACCCTGGAGTTTTTAATGACAACACAAAGCCAAGACTATGGTGTTATATGTCTCATCCGAAAGATAGCAAATGTTTTACAGTATAGTGTCCCCGTCACTATACTGGGGCATTAGGACCCACACAGACTTCAGGGTGTGAGGTCCCTACTGGTCCCACTAACACATCAGCAGCAGCCTTAGTTCTCCCAGGAGGGCTCCCATCCAGCAGGCAACCCACCGAAGCTAAACAGATGTGAGCCTGGTCAGTACCTGGATGTATTCCTGGGTAAAACTAAGCTTGCTGCTGAAAGAGGTGTTCATGGGGCCAAGTAGGGAGCGCTCATTCTGAAGCCTGTGTGGGTCCTAATGCCCCAGTAAAGTGACGGGGACACTATTGTAAAAAGGCACCATCTTTGGGATGAGACGTAAAACCGAGGTCCTGACTCTCTGTGGTCATTAAAAATCCCAGGGCGTTTCTTGAAAAGAGTAGGGGTGTTAGCCTGGTGTCCTGGCCAAATTTCCCAGTGGCCTTTACCAATTACGGCCTCCTAATAATCCCCATCTATGAATTGGCTTCATCACTCTGTTCTGCTCCCCACTCATGTGTGGTGAGCATACTGGTTCACTATGGCTACAGTTGGTAGTGGTGGAGAGAAGTGCCCATTACCTGTAAGGTGCTTTGGGTGGAGTGTCCTGGGCTATAGAAGTGTAAGGAAGTACTTTCAAATGTCTTAAAGAGCATCCCCTGTACTTCATAGTTCTTAGATAAGTTGTTTTAACTTGTTTTTTTTCCCTGATCATTTTAGAACTAAACTTTTTAAACCTTACATGTCTTTAAACTCTCATAAAGCTATATGACTCTATGCACACTTGAATGACATCTTCTTGTTTGGCAGTTTAATCAATATTTTAAATTTTGTTTCTGTGTAAGCGACGAAGCTTAGTTCCAAACTCTCCAGTGCTGCTGTAACTTAGATCATAAAAAGAGGAAGCTTTTTATTGATCTTTACAAGAGCAAAACAGCATTTTTTACTCACTATTTTCTGCCACAGTATGTTTGTCTGTACTTTTACAAGCATTTCTTTAAAAGCTCCTTCATGATGGCTTAGTGTATGTCTATACTGTCTTGACTTTAATTGATTGACTTGACTCTTGATTAGCAACTTATTGACTTTGCAATCATCTTTTGTATTTATACCCAAATCCAACATGGATCAGTTTCTGCACTTACAACAAGGTGTATTTGTGAATATTAGTCCCGAGTAACAGGAGTAATAGCTCTGTGGGAGTTCTGTTGGTCATAGTTTAACAGTCTAGCCAGTGAGTCGACTCGTCAACCTTTGTTGCTAACGCAGATGTACAAGCTTTGATGAAACATTACTAGCATGTGTGAAGTGCATCCTAGAAAAAGTTTTGAAAGCCACATTGCGGGTTTAAGTCTGGGCCCTGTCAGTAGCCAGCTGTGACAGCACTTCTCCAGGTGCACACAAATGACTGAGCCTCTCAGAGTTTGAGAGGGCTTGAGTCGTCCAGGCAGGATGTCCTTGACGTGCCTGTCAGTTCCACCCACTGAGTCTTCTGCTTGCAGTCATTCAGGAGAGCTGCTTCAGTCCTCCATTCAGTGTTAACTCTGCTGTTGATACTGTGGGGCTCTGGCTGTAAGAGGGCAGATGTCTTGGCAGTGAATATTTTCTAAGTATGGTTAGCACCTGTCCTGCCAGTATGATGGTTGTGATAGTAAAATGAGCTATTTAACATCCTCCAATTCCAAATCTGGCATTTGAAAGAAAAATGTGGATATCTTCTAGTTTAAGAAAATACGATTTTAAAAATCTGCACTTCCTCCACAAAAAGGAAGTATAGATAAGACTAAAATCAGAAAAGTAGAAACATTGCTTCTTATGCACAACAGGTTCCATTTACTTGCTTTTTCCCAAGAAATATGAATTCAGGTGTGCTAAGTTACCGAGTTAAAATCGTCTTTTGCTTTCTTCTAGAAAAGATTGGTTACCAGTTGTTGTTGTTTTTTTCATTTTTAATGCATAACTGCTTTTGTGTACAAATAAGCAGGTATTACTGGAAGATTTAGTGCCTTCATTTTCAAGCATGTTATCATATTAGCACAGTTTTCTTGGGCACATAACTGTCACAGGTTTGAAAAGTGAAAATGTAAAATGTGAAATTAAATGTGAATCAGATTTAGAACAGGAAAAATAAAAAAAATTGAAAAAAAGCAAGGCAAGGAAAACTATTTGGAACTTGTGCATGTGTGCAAACAACAATCTTTAAAGGCACATTGACGTTCTATTGCCAAAACAAACAGACTCACTCCATATCAGATGCTTGCAATTTTTTCAGTGTTTGCATAACTTCAGACGTACCAGAAGTAGAAGTTCTTCATTTGGGTTCTGATAGGCTCTTCTCCCGAGTTCACAATTTTTAT